TGTGATGGTGCTGCTGATGCTTGTGATGGTGCTGCTGATGCTTGTGATGGTGCTGCTGATGCTTGTGATGGTGCTGCTGATGCTTGTGATGGTGCTGCTGATGCTTGTGATGGTGCTGCTGATGCTTGTGATGGTGCTGCTGATGCTTGTGATGGTGCTGCTGATGCTTGTGATGGTGCTGCTGATGCTTGTGATGGTGCTGCTGATGCTTGTGATGGTGCTGCTGATGCTTGTGATGGTGCTGCTGATGCTTGTGATGGTGCTGCTGATGCTTGTGATGGTGCTGCTGATGCTTGTGATGGTGCTGCTGATGCTTGTGATGGTGCTGCTGATGCTTGTGATGGTGCTGCTGATGCTTGTGATGGTGCTGCTGATGCTTGTGATGGTGCTGCTGATGCTTGTGATGGTGCTGCTGATGCTTGTGATGGTGCTGCTGATGCTTGTGATGGTGCTGCTGATGCTTGTGATGGTGCTGCTGATGCTTGTGATGGTGCTGCTGATGCTTGTGATGGTGCTGCTGATGCTTGTGATGGTGCTGCTGATGCTTGTGATGGTGCTGCTGATGCTTGTGATGGTGCTGCTGATGCTTGTGATGGTGCTGCTGATGCTTGTGATGGTGCTGCTGATGCTTGTGATGGTGCTGCTGATGCTTGTGATGGTGCTGCTGATGCTTGTGATGGTGCTGCTGATGCTTGTGATGGTGCTGCTGATGCTTGTGATGGTGCTGCTGATGCTTGTGATGGTGCTGCTGATGCTTGTGATGGTGCTGCTGATGCTTGTGATGGTGCTGCTGATGCTTGTGATGGTGCTGCTGATGCTTGTGATGGTGCTGCTGATGCTTGTGATGGTGCTGCTGATGCTTGTGATGGTGCTGCTGATGCTTGTGATGGTGCTGCTGATGCTTGTGATGGTGCTGCTGATGCTTGTGATGGTGCTGCTGATGCTTGTGATGGTGCTGCTGATGCTTGTGATGGTGCTGCTGATGCTTGTGATGGTGCTGCTGATGCTTGTGATGGTGCTGCTGATGCTTGTGATGGTGCTGCTGATGCTTGTGATGGTGCTGCTGATGCTTGTGATGGTGCTGCTGATGCTTGTGATGGTGCTGCTGATGCTTGTGATGGTGCTGCTGATGCTTGTGATGGTGCTGCTGATGCTTGTGATGGTGCTGCTGATGCTTGTGATGGTGCTGCTGATGCTTGTGATGGTGCTGCTGATGCTTGTGATGGTGCTGCTGATGCTTGTGATGGTGCTGCTGATGCTTGTGATGGTGCTGCTGATGCTTGTGATGGTGCTGCTGATGCTTGTGATGGTGCTGCTGATGCTTGTGATGGTGCTGCTGATGCTTGTGATGGTGCTGCTGATGCTTGTGATGGTGCTGCTGATGCTTGTGATGGTGCTGCTGATGCTTGTGATGGTGCTGCTGATGCTTGTGATGGTGCTGCTGATGCTTGTGATGGTGCTGCTGATGCTTGTGATGGTGCTGCTGATGCTTGTGATGGTGCTGCTGATGCTTGTGATGGTGCTGCTGATGCTTGTGATGGTGCTGCTGATGCTTGTGATGGTGCTGCTGATGCTTGTGATGGTGCTGCTGATGCTTGTGATGGTGCTGCTGATGCTTGTGATGGTGCTGCTGATGCTTGTGATGGTGCTGCTGATGCTTGTGATGGTGCTGCTGATGCTTGTGATGGTGCTGCTGATGCTTGTGATGGTGCTGCTGATGCTTGTGATGGTGCTGCTGATGCTTGTGATGGTGCTGCTGATGCTTGTGATGGTGCTGCTGATGCTTGTGATGGTGCTGCTGATGCTTGTGATGGTGCTGCTGATGCTTGTGATGGTGCTGCTGATGCTTGTGATGGTGCTGCTGATGCTTGTGATGGTGCTGCTGATGCTTGTGATGGTGCTGCTGATGCTTGTGATGGTGCTGCTGATGCTTGTGATGGTGCTGCTGATGCTTGTGATGGTGCTGCTGATGCTTGTGATGGTGCTGCTGATGCTTGTGATGGTGCTGCTGATGCTTGTGATGGTGCTGCTGATGCTTGTGATGGTGCTGCTGATGCTTGTGATGGTGCTGCTGATGCTTGTGATGGTGCTGCTGATGCTTGTGATGGTGCTGCTGATGCTTGTGATGGTGCTGCTGATGCTTGTGATGGTGCTGCTGATGCTTGTGATGGTGCTGCTGATGCTTGTGATGGTGCTGCTGATGCTTGTGATGGTGCTGCTGATGCTTGTGATGGTGCTGCTGATGCTTGTGATGGTGCTGCTGATGCTTGTGATGGTGCTGCTGATGCTTGTGATGGTGCTGCTGATGCTTGTGATGGTGCTGCTGATGCTTGTGATGGTGCTGCTGATGCTTGTGATGGTGCTGCTGATGCTTGTGATGGTGCTGCTGATGCTTGTGATGGTGCTGCTGATGCTTGTGATGGTGCTGCTGATGCTTGTGATGGTGCTGCTGATGCTTGTGATGGTGCTGCTGATGCTTGTGATGGTGCTGCTGATGCTTGTGATGGTGCTGCTGATGCTTGTGATGGTGCTGCTGATGCTTGTGATGGTGCTGCTGATGCTTGTGATGGTGCTGCTGATGCTTGTGATGGTGCTGCTGATGCTTGTGATGGTGCTGCTGATGCTTGTGATGGTGCTGCTGATGCTTGTGATGGTGCTGCTGATGCTTGTGATGGTGCTGCTGATGCTTGTGATGGTGCTGCTGATTTCTGCCGTGCAGGGACTGCAGTAGGAACGGTTACAGAAACAGAAATTGGAGCGGAGGCCAACAGGGAGGCAGTGGTTTCGGCATCAGAGGCACTACCCACAGTAGCAGTACCGATAGCAGCACTACAAGCAGCAGCACTACCAACCGCAGCATCAGCAGCAGCAAGACCAGTAGAATCTGATGTGGTTGAAGGAGGCACTGCGGTCGTTTTCCCTCCTGCTGTTGTTCCTCATGTCGCCGTGCCTCTTCCTACTGGGGCTCCAGCATCAGTGGCGGCGGCACTGGCAGCAGCAAGGCCAGGGGACTCTAGTACGAGTGATCATGCTGGTGCGGCAGCAACAGCAGCAGGAACTGTAGCGAGAGGAGAGGACGAGAAAGGTGTGGAAGAGGACGTGAGGGGTGGAGAGGAGATGGCGTGTGGGGAAGACGAAGAGAGCGGAGGAGCGAGTGTCAGGAGTGAGAGAGTGGCTTTGGCAAGCCCCAGAGGTCTGATCGGAGAAGGTTCTGGGGTAGGGGTTACATGTAGGGATGATGGGAGAGGTGCGCGAGAGAAGGGCGAGGCGGGCCATTGGATAGACGAGGGGGAGGGGGGAGATGGAATTGAGGGGAGAGTTGTGGCGGACAGCGAACATGGTAGCGAGGCGGATGCGGAGGGAGAGGCGGGAGAGGAGAGAAAGGGGGCAGAGACGGGAGAGGGAAAGGAGTGGATAGATGTGGCGGACAGGCAAAATGGTAGAGAGGAGGGAGAGGCAGGTGAGGCAGTCCGAGAGCAAGAGGAAGGGCAGGGTGGAGTAGGTGGGGAAGAGGGAGCGAGGGGAGAGAGGAAAGTGGGAGCAGGAAGCGAGGTGGGCGAGGAAAGCGAGTGGGGAGACAGGAGAGGGGGAGAGGGAAGCGAGGACAGGGAGGTTATTGATGTAAGGGAGGAGCATGAGGAACGAGGGGGGAGCGATGAGAGAAAAGGACGAGAGGGTGGAGAGCAGAGTGGGGAAAGAGAGGGAAGAGAAGGTGAAAGGGGATTCAAGAGCAGGGGAAATGAAGGGTTGAGGGAAAGGGTTGGAAAGGGAGGGGGAGAGAAAGGGGAGGGAGGAGAGGGAGGAGAGGGAGGGAAGGGAGGAGAGGGAGGAGGGAGAGGAGAGGGAGGGGAGGGAGGAGAGGGAGGGGAGGGAGGAGAGGGAGAAGAGGGAGGAGAGAGCGGAGAGGGAGGAGAGGGAGAAGTGAGTGAAAGCAGCCAGAAGTTGCCACTTATAAACCCTGTTCTTGAGAAACCTCCTCTTGGAAACCCTCCTCCTAAAATGCGTCCTCTTGAAAGCCCTCGTCGTGAAAACCTTCCTCTCGAATCGACCCCACACCAGCCACTCACGAACCCACCTCCTCTTCCTCCTCCTCCTCCTGCTGTTGCTGCTGCCCCTCTGCCTTTGCGCCCCTCGTTGCCGCGCCATTGCTTGTCCTTTTCCCTCGGCACTCCTGTCGCATTCCTCTCCGCCCCTTCACCTGCCGTTGTTCCGCTACACGCATTTGGTGCTGCTGGGACTCCCAAAGCAGATGCCCGCTCGCACGCACAGCGTGCGTCAAGCAACGCGTGTGGTGGGCCAAGCCACGCCTCAGAGCACCAGAGCAGGGAAGCCAGTGAAGCAGCCCCCAAAGATTGCTGCACCCATTCCCGGGTTGATGCTGTGCTGTGCGTAGGCTCTCTTGGGTGTGCAGCAGCAGCCCATGGTGCTGTGGCCAGGGCAGCAGGAGAAAGTACAGGTGGTGATCTAGGAGCAAGTGCTGCTCGTGCTGCCTGTATGGCTGTTGGTATTGAGAAGCAACAGCAGCAGGAGGGGCAGTGGAAGCAGCGGCAACCAGAGTGTCAGCAGCAGGAGCATGACATTCACATCTTGAAAGAGATTCCTTGTGGACTTGCGGAAGGTGGTGACGTGGAAGGTAGTGACGTGGAAGGTGGTGACGTGGGAGGTGGTAGAATGGAAGGTGGTGGCGTGGAAGGTGGTAACATGGAAGGTGGTGAAGTGGAAGGTGGTGAAGTGGAAGGTGGTGAAGTGGAAGGTGGTGTTGTGAAAGCGCAAGGAGTGCAGGAGAGAGAACGAGGGGCAGGGAGATTAGAGCCAGAGGCGAAGAAGAGGAAACGTGCGGATCTTGAGATTCCTCATGCTGCTGCTGCTGCTACAAGTGCTGGTGCTACTGTTGCTACTGGTGCTGCTGGTGCTGCTGGTGCTACTGTTGCTACTGGTGCTGCTGGTGCTGCTGGTGCTGCTGGTGTTGCTGGTGTTGTAAGTGTAGCTGGTGTTGTTAGTGTTGCTGGTGTTGCTAGTGTTTCTAGTGTTGCTGGTGTTGCTGGTGCTAATACTGCTCCTGTTACTTGTGCTACTGCTTCTGTCAGTGCTGCTGTTGGTGCAGTTAGTGCTGCTGCCGCTGGTGCTATTAGTTTTGCTGCTGCTGGTGCTGCTGCTACTGGTGCTGCTGCTGGTGCTGTTAATGCTGCTTCTGGTGCTGCTATTTCTGGTGTTGCTATTACTGGTGGTGGTGGTGCTGCTGCTGCTCCTGCTACTAGTGGTGCTGCTGCTACTTGTGCTGCTGCTGCTGCTGCTGCTGTTGGTCTTGGTGCTGTCACAGGTGCAGCTAGCAGTGCTGCCAAGGAAGGTGGTGGTTGTGTGAGAGCAGGGGGGCGGAAGAGGTGGGCGCTGGGCGTGCTAGATGCCGGTGCCGGTGGGGACGGATGTGCTGCTGCCAAGCCTGCAAAGCACCCAAGGCTGCACCATAATGTGGACAGCAACGGAGCAACGGCTGCACCCGCTGCTAATGCTGCTGCACCTGCTCTTCGTACTGCTCTTGTTGCTGCCTCCTCTCTTCCTCCTGCCGTACCTCCCCTGTCCAAGAGCAGGGAAGTAAAAGGCGCATCTCTGTCCTTGCCTATAGTGATCAGCTCCTCTCCTTCGGAAGACGCTTCTTTCAAGTCCCCCCAGTCGCCTCTCAAGTCCTCCCAGTCGCCTCTCAAGTCCTCCCAGTCGCCTCTCAAGTCCTCCCAGTCGCCTCTCAAGTCCTCCCAGTCGCCTATTAAAACTGCAGCTCAGGCAAACTTAAAAACCTCCCAGTCGCCAGCTGGGTTTAGAGACTCCACGTCAGCATCAGAGGAGCACCTACCTTCCCAACCCCTCTGCACGCTGCCATCCCCACACAAGCCTGTTCCAAATAACCCATCCTCAGATAAGCCTTTTGCAAATAATCCTTCCCCATATATTCCTTCCTCAGATAAACCTTCCCCAGCTTTGCCTCAGCCACTTGCGACCCTGACAGCTGCTCCACTAGCTGCTGACGTGGCACCTCCTCCACCTGCTGATGTTACAGATCCTCTAATTGCTGACGCGGCAGCTACTCCCGCAGATTTTGCAAGGACGTCGAGCTGTCAACGTGGAAGTGGGGGAGAAGGAGGAGGAGGAGGAGGAGGAGGAGGAGGAGGAGGAGGAGGAGGAGGACGAGGAGGAGGAGGAGGAGGAGGAAGAGGAGGAGGAATGGAGTTGAATTGTGAGAAGGACACAGATGAGTGTGGTGAGAAAAAGGAGAGGCATGAGGGGGGCCATGAAGGGAAGGAGGGGGAGTACGGAGGGGTGACACCCGATGCTGAACTTGGACATGCGAGCAATAAAGAGGAGGAAAGTGAAGGGCGCGTGGAGAATGGGAGGAGGGTGGAGGGAGAAGAGGTGCTGGGAAAGACTCAGAGACAAGAGGAGGGCAATGGCTGTACGACGGTTGGGAGGGACGAGGGAGACGAGGAGTTGAGTGGGAATGGGAGGGACGAAGTGGAGGCAGGTGGACGTAGCAAGAATGGGGGTGTGTCGGTGGAGGAAGGGGAGGAGGAGACCATTAGGAACGGTAGGGTAGAGGAAGGGAATGCGTGTAGCGAGAACGTGGGTGTCTCGATCGAAGAAGGGGAGGTGGTGGGGGAAGGCACGGAGGGAAGCAGGGAGTGTGAAGCACATGGTACTGCTGGTGGCGTTTTGACTGTTTTCAACATGAGTCTTGAGACGTCTCAGAACAGGCATGATAAGGGTGGTGGTATTGCAAACAGGGAACCGGAAGAGACAGAGGAAGATACTAATTGTGATGCTGTTGCTGCCACCACTGCTACTGCTGCTGCTTCCTCTGCTGTGAATTCTGGTGCTGCTGCTGTTGATTCCGCTCGTGCTAATACTGCTGGTGGTTTTGGTGATGGTGCCTATGCTGATGGCAATGATTCTAATGCTGGTCGCAGTGGTGCTTACAGAAATGATGCACAGGGAGTGGAGGAAGGCGAGGTTCAGGTTGACAGCTGTAGCCCAGTGGATGCTGTGGCTGGGGTGACTATAGCGGAAGCTGCTGTAGTGAGGGATGCTGTAGCGCAGGAGACTGTAGCAGGGGATATTGTAGGAGGGATTGCAGTAGCAGGGAATAATGAAAGAGCACGCCACCCTGCAGAACCACCTGCTGCTGCCTCTGTTGACCCTTTGCCTGTCTTTCCTGCTGTTGCTGACCCGGTCTGTGCTGCAGCTGCTGCTTCGGTGCTTTCCGAAGCCTTCAACCTTCACCTGGAAGCTCTTGGTCCCGTTGATGAGTCAGTGCCGGAGTATTTGGATCAGCAGGAAAGGCGTGAGAAGAAGCAGGAGGTCGGGCATGTGGAGAGGCAGGAACAAGTTTTAGGTTGCGACAGGAATGAGGAAGGTGCTTCCGAGTGGTGCAGTCAAGAGGTGGATGGTGGTGGGAATACGGGTAGAGAGAGCCAAGGCACAGATGAAACAGAAAAGCTCGATTTGCCTTGAACTACAGTGCACGCAAAGCATATGCTCTTCTTTCCATAGCTCCTAATAAGTACCACGGTACCACCTAATTTTTCTTGCTACCGATATTGGCTTCGTTTGGCGATCATTTGGAGTTTCAGATTGCAAAGAAGCAACCCAATTGGCAGAATCATTGAATTTGGGGGACTTTGGGGGTGACGCATAGAGCCTACTTTTCATTTTATGTTACCCATGATTGGCAATGTATGATTTATGGCTTCCTTGATCAATAGTGTAACCTCTGTCAATTACTTTTAGCCATCAGGGTACCGTAATCATAGTTTTTGAATTCTAAACTTATAAGCCTGAGTGTAAATATGTTCGTGTACCCTAATATAGGTTGGAAACAGCAGGTTGGTACTGTTAACGGGAATGGAGTGTTGGCCCCGCCCTCGTTTGGGCAACGCCGACGACTTGGTCGGATGTACGGGAGAATCAACCGACCGTTCACAAGGGGAGAGCTGCTCGACGGGCTTCGTCGAGTTGCAGGGGACCGCTGTGGTGGTGCTATCGACTAGGGAGCTCGTTAGCTGCAACTGACTGGGCTGGGCGACGGGTGGACCGTCGACCAGGAGGAGCAGTTCGACCAGGAGGCCGACGGAGCAGTCCGTCGACCTGACAAGTGAGCAGCGGTCGACGAGGGGAGCTCGGTGACAACAGCTGACAGTTCCGGTCGACGGACTCCTTCCGTCGACCAGGGGGTAGCTCGACAGGAGCTGTGGTCGACCAGAGGTACCTAGTGGTCGACCGGAGGCACCTGGTGATCGATCAGAGCACTTGGTGGTCGACCAGGTCGACCTGGTAACCTACTCGACGAGTTCTGCGGAGGCACGCGAACGTCGTCGTGGTCGCGATGGCGAAGGGGACTTCGGGCTGGTATCCAGAAGTCGATGTGGCTCGTCAGGCGCAGACAACAGCCGGCGGATGCACAACGATGCAAGTCAGGCCAATCGTCTGCGCGCACCTGCGAGCGTGCGCACTGCTGCCATCTACGGGTGCAACGCTGGACAGCCGCACTGTTGCAGCGTTGGCACGCCGTCGACCTGCAGTGTTGGCAGGTCGCCTTTCTGAAGTGCTGGCGTGGCTCCGTAACGTTGGCAGGTGGTCGTCCATGAAGTGCTGGCAGTCGACCAGGCTAGCTGCAGAGTTGCTAGGTGCCTGATGTAGTCATTGTTGTCATTGTGAACTTCATCATTCTGCAATTCCAACTTTGCTAGTGAAACTCTTGCCAACTTCTCCCGTCAATGTGCAAGTGCTAAGGAACGCAAGCAAAGATATGATCACTCCTAGTAGTTTGTGCCAACCCTCCCGTAGTCTAGCTCACTACTTTTGCCGAGTGACTCTCCGCATGGTGCAGTGAGCGTGGACGGCCCCATGGATTACCTTCAGATTGGAGCCGACTTCTGCACCTACTGAGTCGTTCGTAGGCCGGCAGCAACGTTAGTCGCCATGGTCGAACCCGTAGTTGATGCGGGCGTAGCGGACACCTTGGAGGCACGTTTGGCTGACGCGAGGAAACGCCATGCAGATGCCGAGTACGGGACAATCCCCTTGATGATCGCCGAGTCGGGCATCCGGTCGTAGTGGGCGACGGAACACCCTTCCCGTCCTGCATCTCCTCGACCAGTGCGAAACGAAGGTGGCGTCGACGACGAGGTTGACGACGGTGCACGAGTCAGCGGCAGCGAAGGCACGAAACAGAGAGGGGTGATCAAGGTTGACGGTGGCGTCGACAGGATTCAAGCGCGAATGCAGCGGTCGACGGCGGCTGCAGGGAGCTCGCGTGCCAACGTCGATGGTCGACGTCGCTCTCCTCTACAAAGCGGTGGAGGGCTCTCGGCGACGACGCACGTGACGGCGGCGGGATTGCACCGCCGTATGGCTACTTCAAGTTCTCGCCGGACCGGATCACCGTCACACCGCTGCAAGGTCGACGGGACCTCATCATTTGGAGGGAGTCGATAGAACCTCAGCTGGAGGGCGCCGGGCTGAAGGGCTTCGCCGACGGCATCGTGCCAATTCTGCCCAAGGAAGATGTCGAGCTGCGCGGAGAGTTTCATGCTGCTTACTTGCTCACCGGTGGTGCAGCTAGCGCCCAGGAGCTGTCGAGAGCGATTGGACGCTGGTTACCAAGCATGGCACTTCATCCTGTCGACGTATCAGGTGAAGGAGGACTTGTACATCGGACAGCTGGAGGAGAAGATGACTCACATTCGGATGGGCGAGCAGGAGTCGGCGACGGACTACTGCAACCGTGCTCGACGTATCCTGGCTGAGATGCAGATGGCGGTCGCCAAATACTCGACAACGCCCTACTTCACCCACGTCCTCAAGGACCTACCGCGCAGCTACAACCTCGTGAGTCCCTCGACGAGGACTCCCTCAGCAGCTACATCTTCCAAGATGAGGCGATGCAGGAGGCAGAACAGCCCACGGAGCTCCTTCAACAGGCAAATTACGCTGCACCGACGAAGCAGTATAAGCAGCATGGGCACCGCGGGAAGCCGGGCGGAGGTGGGCGGTCGACGAGAAGAGGTCGACGCGGGACAAGGGCCGAGGAGGTGGTGGTCGACGGCGGGAGTGCTGGATCTGCCACGACCCCGACCATCTCTCCTACGAATTCCCCGAACGCGACGACAGCGACGAGGACGACAACAAGAGAGGCCGCGGCCAATCGGCCAGTGGTCGCCCATGTCGAAGTCGACGACGTCGACGAAGGACGTAAACAACTCCAGCGGCAAGGGCCGAAGCAACGGGGAGGCGTCGTGTGTCAGATATATATGACTTAGCCTTTGTAGGCTGTAGTGGGGTAGACACTAAGGGGTACAGGTTTCTAGGGTTTCATATTTGTATCCAACATTTTCCTAGTTCATTCATTCCTCATTCTTCACATGGTATAGAGTGGGTTCCCTAGTGGGACCGTTTCTTCCTAGGGCCCACCTTCGAAAATATTTTTTTTTAGCCTGCCCGAATCGCGCTTCGCGCCCTGCCCTAAAATTTCGCGGCCCCTTAGTGGCCTGCCCCTTAACGGCCCCTACGCGCCCCCCCCCCTTAGTGGCCCCTTCGCGGCCCTTCCCCTTAACGGCCCCTTCGCGGCCCCTTCGCGGCCCCTCGCGGCCCCTCTTAAGGCCCTTCGCGGCCCCCTTTGCGGCCCTTCGCGGCCCCCTCATGGCCCTTCGCGACCCCTTCGCGGCCCTTCGCGGCCCCCTCTCGGCCCTTCGCGGCCCCTTCGCGGCCCCTCCGCGGCGCCTTCGCGCCCCCCCTTCGCGGCCCCTCGCGGCTCTTTGCAGCCCCTCGCGGCTCTTCGCGGCCCGCCGTAGCCGCCCTGCCGCCCCGTCGTCGCCGCCCCAGCAGCAGCTGCCGTGGCTTCCGCTGCCGCTGCTGCCACCCGCCGCCGCCGCTGCCGTGACAGCCGCCGCCGCCGCTCCCGTGACAGTCGCTGCCGCCGCTGCCGTGACATCCGCCGCCGCCGCTGCCGTGACGGCCGCCGTTCTCCGCAGCTGCCGCCGCCGTCCCGGCCCTGCCCTGCAGCCGAGTCGCGGCCCTGCCCTGCCGCCCTGTCACGGCCCTGCTCCTGCCGACGCACCTCGGCCCTGCCCCACTACCCGCAGCCTTCTACCCACCAGGCCCTGGTAAGCGCACCGCCGAGCCGCGTCGCCCTCCTGCTGCTACTGCTAGCCTGCTGCTGCTGCTGCTAGCCTGCTGCTGCTGCTGTCATGGCTAGTCCAACTGTTCTTACCTTTGATGCTGAGGGTCGAGCGGTAGACTTTGAGGTCTGGATCGATGATCTGCAGCTTTTCCTGCAGTGTGATAGCAGAGACGGTCTCTCACTGTACGATCTCACGTCTGGCGCCTCTACTGCCCCTGCTGCCAATGCTGACAGTACTGTTCGCTCACAGTGGACCACACGCGATGCTGCTGCCCATCTTGCTGTGCGTAGTCACCTGCCGTCCACTGAGCGCGCGCACTTTAGTCAGTACAAGAGTGCTAAGACCCTGTACGACGCTGTAGTTGCACGCTACTCCTCCCCTGCCACTGCTGCCCTTAGTCGCCTCCTGCTGCCGTACCTGTTCCCTGACCTCGCCGCCTTTGCCACAGTCGCTGACCTCATTACGCACCTCCACACTAGTGACACTCGCTACCGCGCTGCGCTTCCTGCTGAGTTCTGCGCCAAGAACCCCCCCCACCCCATGTACATCACCCTCTACTACATAGTCACCCGGCTCCCTGGCTCACTTCGCTCGGTCAGGGATCACTTCCTCTCTCTCTGCCCCACCACACTCACCGTTGACCTCCTCGAGGAGCGCCTCCTTGCAGCAGAGAAGAGCATAGTCGCTGTAGGAGCCTCTCGTGGTGACCCTCGTGCCCCTTTCTATGAGGATCTAGGATCGAGCTCAGAAAAGATGATTTGAATTGAATGATCACCTGGGTACAACACGAGGCTATATATAGGCTCGACACAAGGCAGGTAACCCAGGTGTTATGCGAATGTTCCGAGGGTCGCGAAGCGTCCCGAACAGAACCTTCCCGAACTCGGTAGAAAGCGATTCGGTGGCAACCGAATAACTTGAGTTCGGTACACGTAACCTGGTTCGGTGCCTGTAACTATAATAACTATAGTAAAGCAACGAACCTAGGAATTCAAGCAATTCATGCATGCAGAAAATAAACCTAAGCTAGGAATAGCGTAAGGAAAAAAAAGCAAGCATGCATGGCTGGCATAAGCCGACGTACTCTCACACTTTCTTTGAGGGGTGCTCCCCCGTCCCCCTTTTGCCCTCTGTTGCCTCTGCTGCTGCTGTCGACCTCGTTGGCACCGAGTCGGTCGGCGCTGCGTCTGCCCCTAGCGGGAGGCGCCGCAACGGCAAGGGCAAGGGGGGCAAGGGTGCTGGAGGAGCTGGCGGGGGCGGTGGTGGTGGCGGTGGGGGCGGCGGAGGGGGTGGGGGTGGCGGTGGGAGTGGTGGAGGGGATGGGGGCTCTGG